ATGATCCACAGGGCTATCAGCTGCTATCAGTCTATTTTTTCATATTTATTTCACTTAGTAGGCGGTGTACCTACACAAAATGTTTTATGTGTTTGACAGTTAATCGATTGCATCAATAATTTTTCTTCTTCAGTTCAACTTTAGCTCCTATGAACTAGAAGTGTTGCCTAGCAACATACCTAATACCTATGTTTGTGTCAGTAATAGAAACGTCAATTCAAGAGCTAATTTTGGTATTAAAATGGACGACTTTTGTGTCGGTTGTTGAAAAAATATGATATCGTGAATAAATGAAAAGAAAACACAAAACAACCGCGTCATCCTTCGTGTTATTAATTTTTTTTTGCCAAAACAAAAATTGGAAAATTCAAAAATGAGTTGGCCAAATTCACTTACTGCCCCCCTCCCCAAAATTATCTTACGGTTCGTCCCTGTATCGATATAGATATAGATAGAATAGTTGGTGACTCAAACTGTATCTACATAATAAACGGAAAAACAAAATGTTTGGGGACTTCCAAATTAGTTTTGTTTTGATAATACTGATGGATATTAATTGGTTCTTATTGCACATGCCACATCTTATTTTTTTTTTGCAGAATGGAAAAGAGTCAGAATCCCCCACCATATACCCCTTCTCAACCGGGTTCCAACCCCCCACCCCATGTATACCCCAATCTGCCACAGGACTCATCTTCTTACCCCCAACCACCACCACAGCATCAGACAGGTGAGAAAAACATGAACCGTATAGCAGCGGATACTTTGCATAATCATTGTTTTTCGACGAACTCTACAAAAAATCACATTTTACGTTCTAATTTCCGAAAGAAAAACCAACCATTTCCGAAGGCAAGTACTTTTCGTTCGCATACCCTAACTTTTCGTTAGATCTCCTGATTTGCATATTGATCTACTGATCTGCTGAAACATTAATTTATTATTATAATTACCTACAGTGTGTCCACCTTAAGGACTTACCACCCCTGTAAAATTGTTATTACCTGACCGATTTCGAAAAACTTTTTTTTGTTGGATAGGTATTTGAAATGTCCATCCAACAAGAGAGTGATTTTACTCATGAACTGTAATCGTGGCCAACTGCGACCAGCTTTATTGACCCATATTTGAGAAAGTACTATTAGGCATTTTTTTTTTCACAAAAAACAATGATGGATTCTGAATCACGATCACTTGAAAAACACCTTTACTGATTTTTATCATCATAAAACACAGGGTGTCCGAAAAAACGAACTATGTTTTTTTTTTGATAGGTGATCAGAAAATGTAGTATTGTGGTATTTTTGAGAAGAATTGATGACAAATCACTTTGAACATATCTGTACCGATTTTCATCATTCAAAAATACGATGTGTATGAGAAAACAAATAGAAAGAAAAAGTAGGCAATATTTTTTCTTCAACTCAAAAAAAATATTAATTTGATTTATCGAACACCCTGTATTTGATGATGATGAAAATCGGTACAGGTATGTTCCAAGTGATCCTGATTCATCTTTTTATTTTGAGTGAAGAATAATCAAGATGAAAAATATCGCTTACCTATCCTTTTTAATTTTTTTATCAGACACATTGTATATTCAAATGACGAAAATTGGTACAGGTATATTTGAAATAATCCTCAATGATAATTTGTGATTATTTCTTTCTAGAAAAACCACAGAACTACATTTGCTGATCACCTATTTGAAGAAACTGGTGATTCGTTTTTTCGGACACCCTGTGTTTTATGATGATGAAAATCGGTACAGGTATATTTCAAGTGGTACTGATTCAGAATCCATCATCAAGTTTCGTGGAAAAAAATCCCTAATAGTACTTTCTGGAATATGGGTCATTGAAATTTATCGCAGTTGGCCACGATAACAGTCCAAGAATTAGATCACTCTCTCATTGGATGGGCATTTCAAATACCTATCCAACAAAAAGAGGTTTTTCGAAATTGGTCGGATAATAACGATTTTACAGGGGTGGTAAGTCCTTGAGGTGGACACACTGTTATATTACTATTAATCTTCAGTTAATCAGATATACTTATAAATTGCATGATATTTCGTCACACTCTGTTTGAATTAATTTTACAAAATAAGTAATAAATGTACATGATATAGGTACCAATGATATGTATAAACCAAAAAACAACAATATCTTATCTGATCCAGATCAAATTCAATTTTTTTTATACCTCTGTTATAAGAGTTTATTTCTCACTTTTAGTTTTTCTATTTGTATTGTATTTTTGTTGTTCGTTTTCACCATTCGTTCCTTTTTTTTATATACCTAAATCTTATAAGTACCTATGTAACTGTATTTTGTAATATTTGTGAATATTTTTGAGTTGAGAACTAGGAATGTGATTATTTTCGTATGAGAATGTTTGTTTTTGTTCTGTTGGAAATAGGTTAATTTTCTGTTTACTAAAAGTACATAATGTTTTGACGTCATGGGTTCATTTCATTATCCTTTCTTAGAATTCGTATAGCATAAAATAGATCTTAAACAGATCTATCGAAATCTACTGCAATTTTGACAAGGTATTTACTGACGGAATAAAAATCTAGCTGGCGACCCTGGTCCGCGTAGACAGTTGACAACAACTGTCATTTGCTGTTGTCAAATCAATAATCTACGAAATCCGATAGATTTCACGTGATGTGAAGTGTTTGAGGTCGGCGAAAAACTGTCTATTGCCTCGTCAAATTACTCGACTATAAAATACAGTATTTCGTCCTTGGTACATGAATAACTATTTCGTTCATTTCTTATGATTATTTTTTTCACGTGTCAAAATGTGACGTTTTCGTTGTTTCAGCCAATTTGAATGCGTTATACTAGCAAATCATTCGGTATCATACTGATAATTTGTTAAAAGCAAATTACAGCGATAATTTCTTCACGTTTGGATCTTCGTTTGAATGGATACATTGAAGGGCCAATAGACTGCATTGAAGGTAGGCGTAGGCTCTTTTCTTCGACTAACAAATCTGTTCGGCAAAACCGCTGGTCATTTTGCGAAATAGTAAAATAATATTTCTGAAAATTTCAACTGGATTAGCACTCGTCTATTTTGGGAGCTTCCCAAAATGCCCAACTCCCACGATGACGAGTTCCCACGATGCCCAATTGCTGCGATGCCCACCTTCATGTCGGCGATTACGAAAACCGTCGAAGAGCGCAACGTTGCCAGGTGGAGAGAAAGATTCAGAAAACACGAGATCCCCACCATGCCCACTTTTCGTATATTCCCAGTTATATATATATATATGTTATGTTCTGTTATAAGTATGTCGATTTATGCTGTACGTCCATATCTACAAATTTTGTCTTCACCGGTTCTTGTACAGAGATATATTTCAATATGAGTGCTTGTTATACACCAGTCCAAACACTTTACTCATTCATTTATTTCAATTTTTGATCAATTAAATTGTCTATGTTCTATGTATCTGTATTCCAACGAGTTCAACCTCAACCTTGACTGTGAAAGTTTTCATTTCACTTCATTTATTGTATCCATTTATTAAGCATACTTTGTCAACAAGAATGTGTTTCTTTGACAATGAAGTATATTTTTGATTGATTGATTTATCAATCCTTTAAAATTATTGCCAGTGATGACAGAGGTGTCGGAGTCCGGAGGCAATGAAAAAAGTACCGAATAAGGCCCTTTCAATCACTCTTCCGATAATTTTATTTGTAAAGGGTTATCCATCGAGAAGGTACACCCATATATATTAACCTTTTTTTTATCGATAAAGAACAAACGATATGCGGAAGATCAATGCCGCAATGAAGCCTTTCCACAGCTCGGATGATCCCTAGTAGTGGTGCCCGCGAGAGTCTCATTTTCGAGAGTCTCGCATGGTCTCGTCTCGTATTAGATACAAGACTCGAGACGAGACTAAGACAAGACGAGCCGAGACTTTCATTGGTCTCGTCTTGAGTCTCGTGCAAGACTTCTCGTGTCTGGTGCGAGAGTCTCGCAGGTAAATATTTCTGTGTGCCGACTGCAGACTTGAGAATTTCATTCATAATACAACATATTTAGAAAGAATTCAGACTATTTAGTACATATCGACAAAACATTTCATTCATGAATACTTCAAAGATTATTCTCACGTGCTGCGTTAACTATAAGAAAACATCGGAATCGCCTTTAAAATGAACCTGTCTTAACGACTGGGTGAAAAACAAAAACATTTGCGATCCTGAAGGCTGATCTGACTGATAAAGGTTTTTTTCTTAGATAGGTTCCTATTTCTTAAATAAGTGAAATAATGTTGGATTAGAGTTTTTGTTTAGTTTATTTGTTTATAATATACGTGTTACTTTTTATCTTATTTTTATAACTTTCGAATATATAATGCTATGTTTTTTTTCTTGTTTAGATGTATGATGTAAGTATGTACCTATTAGGTACTTATTTTTCAATAAATAATGTTATTTTTGTTGTAATTTTCTCTTTCTACTTCTACATTATACCTGAAAAGTAGGTAAAGGTAAATATCCCGTACTAGACTGGAACAAGATTATGCATGACAAAATTGCGATACATTTGCGAGACTCTCGCACGAGACGCGAGACAAGACGAGACCCGAGGGTGCGAGACGAGACTCGAGACAAGACCTCATATTTCATCGGCGAGACGAGACTTTATGAAAGTCTCGTCTCGTTAGTCTCGTGTGATTCACTAATCCCTAGAAGCTTGACATGACAAACCACAGATTTATTTTTTTAAATGGAATGTTTTCTATATTTTTTTCGGAATCTCTGATTTTTCAGTGATCACAAACACTTACATATTTCATCATTATCGAATACATTCCCTAACTGATTGAGTAATCACCAATTAATCATCTGGGGTCAAAAAAGTGAAGATAGGAGATATTATACTGCATATATACTTTTGTAATGGTTTGGAATCGAATTTTTGGCATGTGAAAGAGTGAAGTCAACTTGAATCTATTCATAAGAAGTTAAATGAACCCAGCGGAAGGAGAAGTTCGTGAGTAGGCACATACCCCAGTCAATAAGCGCGCATTGATCCTTAGCTTTCACCTGCTTTGACCTGCTTATAAACTAACTTAGCTTATATCTTGTAAAAATGTCAATCACGCCTGGGGGCTCCAGTGGCTCCCAGAAAAAAACCCTGACAACCATGATAACCATGACACGTACCAAAAGGTAGGCCATATTGTGATAGAAAAATATGATGTACATGATGCTCGCCCATATTCAATTATTGTGGAGAGTAGTGACAGGAATGTTGGAAATATCCACCCAACAGCAATAGGGAAAATATTGAAGAGAGAATCGGTAAAGAGCATCAAGAAAATCACCAGGAAAGGAAGTAACAGATTGGGAATCGAGTTTACTAATACAAACAAAGCCAACAAGTTTCTTTAAAATTCAGTTTTACAGAAAACCAATTGGACGGCATTCATTCCATCAGCATTAGTATCAGTCAGGGCATTGTGAGAGGCATAGGCACAGAAACCACCCTAGAGGAAATTGTTAAGGAAAGAATATTAGCTAGACCCATAATGGCAGCTAGAAGAATAAGTAGAAGAAACATCAAGGAAGACAAAACAGTAGAATATTTTTTTTTCTTTTTTTTATGTTCTGGTTCCCACGAAAAGGGATATCCTGTAATGTTCAGAAAAAATCGTGAGAACCAAGGGCAATAAGGTAGGAATTGGTGTTCTTCATAAATTTCTGGAGATTATATACCTCGGGGAACACCTCCCTTGGAAATGTGTCCCAGAGCCTACAGGGACAGTAGTGATTACTATCCGAGGCAAGAAACTACCTGAAACTGTATTAGTCAATTACTATGAAGGCCAAGTCAAGGTATATGTAGACCCAGTATTACAATGCTATAACTGTCTGAGATTTGGACACACAAAAATACACTGTCGTAGCAAAAAAAGATGCTCTGAATGCACAGCAGAGCATGAAGAAAACGAATGTGAAGCGAAAGAGAATAAATGTGTTTTCTGCCAAGAAAACCATGAACCAACAGACAGATCATGCAAAGAATATGGACGACATAAGGATATAAAAGAACTCATGACATTCGAGAACTCATCATACTATGAAGCAGGCCAAAGAATACCAAGTAACCAAGGAAGCAACCAACAATCACAATTTACAGCAAACATACAGGAGTTTCCAGCAATCATAAATAGAAAGACAACTCAGAACATCACAGAGATACATCAGAGAAGAAGAAATGCAGAACAATATACATCAAGACTTAGCTACTCTCAAGCCGCAAGCACAAGGAAGAGAAAGTCCTCCTCACCACCAATCGGTGCGATGTAGACACAAACAAAAAACTCTTAATACCACCACCCGACAGACGAGCAACCAGATCAGTACTCACAAACAAACAAACAAACAGAGTCAATACAGCAGATAGAAGCTGTTGGCTTAGTGGAATTCATCAGATCAATATTAGAACAAACAAGCCTAGCAGAAACAACCAGAGAGAAAATTAAAATCCAAAATGAACCAGAAAGGACACGCTCGAGAATGAACAAGGAAAAAGGAATACAAATAATACTTCAAACTCTTCACAATGGTCAGATGACAAGTTTGCAGACAGTATGGTAATATAGAAGAAACACAGCAAGGCTCAGATGCACAGTCCGATGGGGACTGTACATAATGAAAATAATGTCAACAAACAACCCTGCATGGACAAAGAGCTGAAGATACTCCAGTGGAATAACAGAAGCGTATATACAAATTTCCAAGAACTGAAAGAATCAGCAGAAGGACAAAAGCCAGAAATAATCCTGCTGAACGAAGCATTAGTCCATCCAAATCAACCAACCAACCAACAACTTGCCACCAACCAACCAACAACTTGCCACAGAGAATCCAGATTATTGGAATTATGGTGAACAACATCAAAATCCTCACTATATATTGCCCACCTGACATAGATATGTCGAGAAATATCTACAATTGTATATTCCAGAAAATCAGAAAATTCAGGCACCATTTATCATTATAGGTGACCTGAATGCACAACATCCTGCATGGGGATCAGGTATATCTAATGCAAAAGGCATTCAGCTTATAAAAGCACTGGAGGACAACAATATGGTATTCTTGGATGATGGCAGGCCAACCAGGGTGACCCTAACAGGACAGAATAAAAGCTGCCCTGATTTAACAAAAGGCACAGCAGACATTGTTACTGATAATGATGTTGGCACAAGCGACCACATGCCAACAAAACTAGAAATAAGTGGCAACAGAAACATAATGTATGGAAACTAGCCTATATTCAGATGGAACACAAAAAAGCTGATTGGAAACTATACGAGCTAAATTTTAGGGAGGAAGAAAACAACAGAGATTATGGGGAATTGTATAGGAAAGTAGGGGAAGCAGCAAAGGCGGCTATACCAGAAACAAAAATAATAATTGGAAAAAGATGATTCACCAAGAAACCTGTATGGTGAGATGATGAATGTGAGAATTTGAGGAGAGAAAGAAGTGAAGCCTTGAGGATATACAAAAATGACTTGACCGAAAACAGTTACATTGCATATAAAAGAGAAACGGCGAGGGCAATATTATGGATGAAAACAAAAAAAAGATAGTTTCAGGGAATATACAAAAACTCCTAATAGGGATACAACTAGGGAAATATGGAAGGTATAGTGAGAAAATTCTCACAGGCACAAAAACCGGACCAACCACAACGCACGGAAACAGAGGAGTGAATAACAATCCTATTAGATAAACTTACACAGCCGAGACCGATAATCATAGATGAATTGCAGACTGTAATATACAGTGAAAGAGAGAAACGACACATGGAAAAGACCAAGTAACATATTCAATGATTAAAAATCTACCGGAATTCATGAAATCCAAACTAGTTGATATATATAACAAAATTCTGAAGCAAAACAATACCGATCCCAGAAGACTGGAAAACACATTTTATTAGAACAAGCAAACATCAAAGGCAAAATGTACGCAGAAATTGATCCAGTTCCGAAAAATAGACCGTGGTTTAGGAAGATGAAAGCAACCAGGGGAACAATAACAACAATAATAAGAATGAGATCACTATGCACCTGTGGTCAGTACGGAAACTTCAACCATGTATTCCTAGGATGCCCAAATAGGACGCAACAGAACTCCGACTTACATTGCAATCGGACAAAACATCTGCAGACACCTATAGAAATATACTCCATATTAGAAAACCACTCTCACTACCAGTTAAGCTACTAATAAAATACCTTCCAGAAAACAGTACTTATTAAACTTTAACTGCAACCAGACGCAATAAGCCCATTCCTATCACGCTTTGCATGACAGTAGCATGAAAAAATCCATGAACAATCTAGATTTATAATGCTATACTTTTCTTTTATTATTCACAGAAACATCAAATCCCAAAACCTGGTGCAAACCCATGTGAAAATGCTCTGGACACACCACAGAGCGAGAAGAGTCTAATAATACCTTTGTTTTACCCACATCCTACCCCATAACTATAATAATTGATATCCACCCAATGAAGGGCGCATGGAGTTTGAATCCAGATGCATATTCTGATGATCACAGATTTCGAAAAAATATATTCACAAAAATCAATTTGTGGTTTGTCACGCTTTTAGGAATGACCCTGTAAAACTTCTGATAAGGGCTGTGGAAAGGCCTCATTGCGGCATTCAACTTCCACATATCGTTTGTTACACGTTCATACATATTTACCATACTATACTATTTTACTATTTTATTATAGGTACGCACAATATTTTTGCAACTCTTTAAAAGTCTTCATTATTTTTTGACGAGTGATTATGATTTCTCCAAAGTCCATCAGTAATTGAAGCAAATCACTTTTTTTACTGAACCTAATAATCTAAGTTTTCTCAGCGGTGAATACATTCTCAATGTATGATCCCCAAGTTAGGGAATAGGAATGCATATGCATCTCCAAAATCAACCAGAATCCTGAAAGTAAAAGTAAAAAGATCATTTGGTTCACTGTCAGCAATATATACCCCTTCTTGTAGGTATTTATCAAGGCAACGTGAAGAATTTCGAGCATTTTGCTTTTTGAAATTGAATACATTTGCTCTTGGACTTCCGAGCATTTTGTCATTCGGAAATTGAAATACTTTGCTCTTGGATTTGGCGCATTTTGCTCTGAGTCAGCTTGCATTTCATCTTCTATTTAGCCGCCATTTCGCTTCTCAACCAGCATACATCTTGCCTTCATCCAATAAATAAATACCTTGGATTTCGCCTCATATTTCATTACTCATTACTCACTGACCAAGAGTATTAAGTCAAAATATAGTAATTAGTCAGCTTACCATTACCAAGACACGGTATAAACGTGACCATTATTTCACATAAGTACCTATATTATGATAATTTGGTACATGTTCATACCCTCTCATACAACAAAATAAAAATAGATATCGCAAACAAATGACGACAGTAAAGCTTCAATAGTTTGTATATACTCTGCTGTAATAACTTCCAAAGTACAGGGTGTCCTCAAAAGGTCTGTACAAAATATTAGCACATATTCCTAAGGTCCACTCCAAGAAAGTATTTTTGAAACTACATTTCATACACTGACGAAATTACATCCAAGAAGAAAACAGCTGACATATTTTATTCAAAATTATTAAAATATTCCAGTGCTGCATCGAACAATAAAAATCGAAATATCTCAAAATAGGCTTGATGATTTAGCGGATTTTCACAAGAGCATCTTTTCTGCTTCAAAATGTTCAAAACATTATTTCCTCAACAAATAAAGTGCGAAACTACACTGAGAAGAAGGTATGGCCATTGTAAACCATAAAAAGTCCATTGGGAAGCACCCTCTATTGGCGATAGTGATGAGGTGTACGTATTCGTGTTTCGCATCCCAAAATACCCCTGGAATCAATTTTTGAATACGTTCAAAAATTTTCATCAATTCTGAGAAATTCGGCACCCTGTATAATAAATAATGTTAATAATGGTCTAGGTCGCCACAGTATTTTTCAAAAATAATCATCATCCGTTAAAAAGCAACAGTAGGTATTATGGTAACGAAACTGAATCACTTCAAGTACACACATCAGTATCGCCACACAAAAATTCACTCATTTGACAGTTTCACAGGAAAAAATATAAATTCATTAGTTGATTCCTCCCTTCCTATGTTTATTTATTTCAGTGATTGTGACACACACAGTTCCACAAGCACTTGGACCAGTGCCAGTGTCAACTAGTTGTCCATCATGCCATGCCCAAATCACAACGTCAGTCCAGACCGAAGCTACTACTAAAACACACTTATTCGCTCTTTTATTATGTCTTTTTGGGTAAGTAATGATACTATTGCATCCATACAGCGTAACAGCATATTGCTATTTTTGCACTTTTGGGACTAAAGTGTATCTTTCAGTATATACTCCAAACAGAGCATCATTCGTGGGCTTCAATAAAGACTCTTATTATAACTTAAATGTATCCTCTGGTCCCTCCAAAACAGAGACCAAAAAAGTATCTCATTTATTCACTAGGTGTAATTCGGTGATATCTATCGGTGATTTCATGACTACTGGCGAGCAGCACTAATCAATGATGCTTCCATTTGGTCATTCAGTGTTTCTTCGGCTCCAGCGAATTTCAACATTGTACCTCCATCATACTCCATTATATGACAAGTCGTTATCGATAAAAACCTACTAGATTCGAGTGCCATTTCTGCGAATCTCGCATCAGAACAGTTAATTCAAGTTAATTACTACAGAGGTGATTCATAAAATGACGAAAACTACTTTGGTGATAAAAACACACTTAGAGATAATGGTGAAAAATATGACAAAAATTAAAGGAAACATAATTTACGGTGATCTGAGCTCGGGAAGTGAGAGGGGGTAAGTTTTAAATGGTAGGTGGAGCAGGTTCCATGTGAGTGGGGGCGAATACCGCCCCTCCACTGCGACCCCAGACCGAAATCTACTGAATTTTTGACAAGGTATTTACTGATGATATGAAAATTCAACTGACAACCTGGTCCGCGTGCGAGAGCGGAGAGTGAGTTGACAACTGTCATTTGTTTTTGTCAAATTGATTATTTACTGAATCCGATAGATCTCACGTCTGAATAGGACCGTGGTGTGAATATAAGTATTCGAGGTCGACAAAAAATTTAATATGCACCTCGGCGAAAAACTGTCTATTGGCTCGCCTGATTGCTAGTCTCGGCTACGGCCTTGGCTATATCAATTCGCAGCCTCGATTATAATAGACAGTTTTTTGTCCTCGGTAAATAGATAACTATTTTGTGTAAAATCATCTTCATAAAAATTTCGATTATTAGTGACAGTGGAATATGCAGCATTTCCACAAGTTTGAATAGCACTTATTCGTTTCGAACACTAACTTTGTTTCAACTCGTTATCACATGACGAAAGTATGTCCCGAATAACGGCAGCAAATAAATCGCTGTGCCGTGGATTTGGCTCGGTAGGTTTTTAAAGGTGGGGACAGACCAAGCAAACATTGTTGTGCAACAGTTGAACAACAGGTAGGTAACTGTTGACTAACTTGTTTCCGTGGTGAAACTGTTGGGCAACGTTGACCAGCCTTCTTTCTATCGTGTTTGTCCAGTGTTCGTTCAGTCAGGCACCATGAGCGACGAAGAAGATGCGTCTACACTGCAGAAGCTGTGTGCGCACTGTTGGGCCACATCTCCTCTGAAGTACCGCCTCGGGAGCAAACACCGACCACCAGTTCGGCAACAGCTGCACAACTGTTGTGCAACTGTTGGGCAATACGTCCCTAATAGCACACAACGTCCTAGGGACGACCCTATTTGGTACAATTCACGTCTGAATGTCCCGAACCAAAAATAAGTGTCCTTGGGACGTCCCATCCCGTACATCTCATGCAATGTCCGAGCAAGGACGTCCATGGAATGTCCCAGCTGGTACTTAATTTCAAATGTCCTAGAAATAGCATCCCTTAGACGTCCCACGTGGTACATATTCTGGCATCACTTCAGATCTTACATAATATCCCTTCTAGACAACCATGAAATATCCCTGATGGTACATTCCTTCAAATATCTCTGCACAGACGCCCTTAATATTTCCAGGATCGTATAACAATCGAAATGTCCCTTAGGGATATCCGTCGGATGTCCCAATTGGTACATGAACTGTACTCTTCCAATGTCCTAGAAATTACGTCCTATGGACGTCTCAGTCGGTACTTTCAATATGTTGTCCCTGCGAGGACGTTAACTTACACCTCGCCGACGAATGATTGCTCGTAGGCTATAAGTACTCCTCGTTAATGTTCTTCACGTAAGTCCATTGGACATCCTTGGGAAACTTTTTGGGGACCTTCTACGGATCATCAACTCAACTGGATGTCCTAATCAGTTATGCAGGATCTGGTCCTAGAGGGACCCAAAAAAATTCAAATTCAAGAATAATAATTCGTACGTCCCTGGGACATCATACCCAGATAGCACGGGACGTCCCGAAGACGTCCATTTCAGGTCCATTTTTGGTCTGAACGTCCAGGACCTTTGATGGACGTTTTAAAGACGTCCATTATTGGACATACTCCGGACGTCCAGAAAAAGACGTCTTCAAAACGTCCAATTCACAGACTCTCACGGTATATCAGTTAAAATTAATATAAGTAGGTAGGTATTTATTGATTTGAAAATTGGAATTATTGATTTGAATATGGACATGAATGATGTCAAGAAATATATTATATATCAGCTGTAGGGGGAAGGGTGGATGATTCGGCCATGTGGAGGATTCCCGCCATATTTTGGTTATTCTGCGTGCCTCTGAGTGTTCTCTATGCACCATCATAATTTAGAGAGACATTGAACGTGTTGTGACTGAGTAGGATTCAATTGTGCATTTTATGACATTCATCGTAAGTTTTCATCCTGATTAATAATATCGTATATTGTGGCTCGATTTTTGTCAAAGACTCCTGGATTTTTCTAGAAAGGCATGATATTGTGTTACCAAATACATGGAAACATAACATAACCTATCATTCTGTTGACAAAATTTCTGCTTACAATATTAGTTGAAAAAGACAAGTGGGGAGCATTCAGCCACACCAATGTGAGGTACATTCGGCCGGCCGAATCTACCTCACTTTTTGGTGGCTGAATGCTCCACCCAAATTTTTATCATGGAAATAATTTTCTATCTCTGATTATCAGATGCCTAGATATTACAAAAGGAAAACTAACAGGAACATAGATGAACCATCAATGAAACACGCAATTTGTGCTTATTTGAGACAAAAAGTAGGTCTCAATGAGTCTGCACGACGACATAATATCAAGCGTTCGACTCTGCAATCACGTTTGAAGATCTACCTTGCTAATAAAACTAGAGAAGAAGTATTAGCAAGTCTTGAAGATTCAGGCAACGAAAGTGACGAACAGGATAGGGCAAAAAAGTTTGGGAATAAATACGCAATCGCTAAGGTTTTCACAGTAGAGCAGGAAAGAGAACTCAGCAAGTATTTGAAACATGCTTCTGATCTGAACTATGGTTTGTCTTTCAAACAAGTTCAGAAACTAGCCTACCAATATGCTGTATCCTTACCTGATTGCAAAATTCCTCAACAATGGATTGACAAAAACCAAGCAGGTTAACTATACCTATTTTGGTTTACTATTTTCAATTAAGTAATGTTCTGTTTTGTAGGTGACGAATGGAGAAAAGGGTTCATGAACAGAAATAAGGATCTCTCACTGAGAAAACCTGAGAGTACAAGTTTGTTCCGAGGAACAGGTTTCAATAAATCGAGAGTAGAAGAATTCTTCCAAAATTATACCTTAATATTGGAAAGATATGGGTTCATCGCACAGCAAATTTATAATCTGGATGAAACTGGAATATCAACGGTCATGAAACCTGTGAGAGTTGTGAGCAGTAAAGGAAAGAAACAAGTCGGCCAAGTGGCCAGTGGAGAACGTGGGGAACTCGTCCCATTTGTGGGAATTATTAATGCGACTGGATCTATGATTCCCCCAATATTCGTTTATCCACGAATTCGAAACGTAGAGCAATACATGATAAATGGGCCAACCAGTAGCATAGCACTAGGCAATAAGTCAGGCTGGATGACATCAGAATTATTCTTAGATGTTCTCAAACATATTGTCAACCATACCCGTTGTTCTCGAGAAAACAAAATCCTTTTAATAGTGGATAATCATGCATCCCACACTTCTGTTCCAGCGATATTGTTTTGCCGACAAAACGGAATAGTTCTTTTGTCGTTCCCACCACATACGACTCATCGATTACAACCACTGGATGTAGGGATTTATAGTCCTTTCAAACCTAAACTGGCCATTGCATTCAATGACTGGATGCTTTGTCACCCAGGAAGGACTATTTCCATAAAAGAAATTTCTGAGCTTGCTAACATAGCCTATTTGAACTCATTCACTCCGAGAAATATTATAAGTTCTTTCAAAAATACAGGCATTTGGCCGATGAACAGATTGATTTTCACAGATCAAGACTTTGCCCCCAGCTCTGTTACTGACAAACCACAGGAAACTACAGAGGATTGCGTCGATGTAGTGAGGGTTCCAGAACAAGTTCCTGATAATGAGAGAACTCCTGAGCGAATTGCTAATGATGGAAGTAATGTGAGAATAGAATCTCCTTTGAATAACTTCCAAAATCAGACTGATGCTGCATCACCATCTAATCCAACAGAGGAACCTGTACCGTCAACCTCAAAAGAACCTGGACCATCTACATTGAAGAAGAGTTTACTGGAAGAAATAAGGCCATTCCCCAAGATTGATTCATGTGAGAGGCCCAGAAAGACAAGGAGAGTTGAATCAAAATCCAGGATATACACTGACACTCCTGAACTGAATCTCAAACAGAATTTGGAAAAAGATAAGGAAAGAAAGGAGAATGTTTCCAAGAAAAAGGCTGTTGTTAAGAAAGTTTTTCAACAAGAATATTCATCTAGTGATCTTAGCGAATCTTCATTCGTCGCAGATGACACATCTGATGAGGAATCATTTGAATCTCTCAAGACTCCACAAAGAGATGCCAAATTCAATATCAATGATTTTGTTTTGGTGAAGTTCAGGAAGAATAATAAGAGAGATGGCTATTGTTACTACATTGGGAAAATTATACTTGTCGAGGAGAAAGTGCTTACAGCCACTTTCTTGAGGAGAAGAGGACTCACCACTAATTTTAATTTTCCTACAATCCCCGACGTCAGTGTCATTCCAATCGAAGATGTCACAGCAAAGCTGTCGGCACCAAATAAAATTGGGAATGCCAGAGTTTTAGCATCCCTGCGGTTCAATTATAATTTTCAAGGTTATGACTTGCGATGAGAGTATATAACTGTATGAGACCTGTTCCTTCAATAAAATGTATAAAAATGTGTTGAAAACATTCAGCTAAACATTATTGTATACTTTTTCCTGAATGGCCGAAACCTCCACAGCCACTGGCCGATTCTACCTCAGTACTGAGGTAGATTCGGCCAATTGCAGACATAATTTCAAATGTCGCAAAAACAGACTAATTTATTTTTCATTCCAATTTCCATTATAATTCATATTATATACATGCTGAACATTCCTCATCCACATCTAGACGCCATCTATCGTATAAGAATTCAGAATAAACCTGCATAACGTCATAACTAGCCGAATTCACCACCCTCTTCCCTATCAATATAATATATTTCATTTTATTATTAATATTATGAATTTGAAATATTGATGATTTTAACTGATTTGTACCTACTTATATAGTTATGTTTATATTACTTCAATCACATAATACCTATATACAGTTTGACCATTCTTAAACCCACACTGAAGTATTCATACAAGCCGCGCTTTTATAATAAGATTTGATTGAATCACTGAATATGTAAAGCAACCGTAGAACGCATGCGTGCTCAGCGTTGCCAGACTTACTATTTTAGCAGTAGATCTACTGTTTTTGTCTCCGTTCCACTGTTCAACTATTCAAGGCAATGGTCTGATTGGTCATGTTTTGATATGACATAACTACCTAATATGCAACAATGAAAAATCAATGGGACACAATCACAGTAAGAAGATCTATGATAAAAATATACTGCAACTATCATATTCAGTCTGATTAGTAAAAATTAGCTTTTATTTTCAATCTGGTTGCGGTTTTTACAAATTTCATATTTTATTTCATTATTTTTTATTATTCTTCGTTCGATTTTTATTAGGTATAATAGAGACCGAACATGATTTTTTTTTCGTTTATTATATAGGTGACTATGTTTTTTCATTTATAATAGCAAATTATGATGATAATCAAAATCTTCTGTTCAGTTTTGATGATCTACTGTTTTTTCCTCATCCATCTACTGCTCCGACAAATTTTCATCCGGCAACACTGTGCGTGTTACGTGAAACGAAATGGGAAGATGGCGTTCGTCAGTTGACCACTGCCGAGTGCCGATTAAACTGTGATTCAGGTCCAAGGACATTCTGAACTTTTCGGGTTATTTGACTGTAAAAGCAGTGAATAAGTGAAATCTTTGCGGATATCATCTTTCAACTGGTGAACTTCGAACTCGACTTCTATTGAGATGTTTTGTGCTAACAGCAGCATGAAGGCAAGTATGTCTATCGACGCTATCGTTTTATTTTCATTCGCTTGAAGGTGCTTGAGTAAGAACATCGAATCTGGAGTTGAAAACATTAGATACCTTTCTATATAATTTGATTTCATGCAAAGCTCTACCTAATATCCTATTTCCATCATCTACAAAAGTTTATATTTTTGTATATAGTTAAAACATAATATATTTCGTGCAAGGTTCAAAGAGGTTATCAGTTTATGTTTGCAATAAGTTCTCAATGGAATAAAAATAATGAAGTATTAAGCTATACTGACTACTAAACGTTGAAAGTGGGTGTGTGTTTATGGTTCATGATATTCACAAAAGATGTTATTGAATATAATTATTATTAAATTTACAGATCCAGTGGAAGAAGACAACAGCAGAAGGCTGCCAATCAGAAAAAGACATCATCGCGCCTGCGTAACTGGATGAATCACGCGACGTTTTTAGTGGTGCAGCTGCTGATATACGATATGGAAGAGTGAAATTGAAACATAACTACCTAAATCTCTGTTCATATTATTGTTTGCGAATAAATGTTTACTAATATTCAAGTATTTCACTCTTCCGATGGGTCAGAAAATGAATAATCAATATTATCTGAATGTCCTCAATACGTCCATTTTTCATACCAAAAAGGTCCTAGTCTGGACCTAAACTGGACGTCCCCAAAACATCCTGATTATTAACAATGGACGTCCCCAAAACGTCCATAAGACGTCCGTCGTCCGGAAATGGACGTCCCCAAAACGTCCTGAATGTCCACAGTGGACGTTTTTAAAACGTCCATAAGACGTATTTGTGCTGATTGGGTATGGACATCCAATTGATATCCCACAGCGTAGCTGATTGGTTGTCCTATGGATGTCCTAAGGATTTCCTCTGTAGTGCTTGATGAGGAATACTGTAGGATGTAGGCATTCGATAGTTGTCCCAGAGACATCCCTCAAGAACGTCCCTAGTTGGTCCTCAAGTGGGACATTTGTGCGTCCCACAGATGTCCAATGGACGTCCACGGTACCAAATTTGAACGTTCTATGGACGTCCTGAATGTCCCGACAGGACGTCCTAAGGATATCCATGGGACATAGGTGTGTTATTAGGGGTACACACTGTGCATACTTGTGTGTTCCTCGAGTGTTGTTTCACTGTTGCACAACAATGTTTGCTTGGTCTGTTCCCACCTTGAGATCTACTAATCAATTGGTATCGAATGGCATAATTCTTATCTCGTTATCAAATCGCGAAATTTAGTGCAAATTAACGCACAAGAAAGTGCCATTAAATTTGTTAATCATTTTGCACAGGATAGTGATTGGCACAGGTGCCGTTCGATAAAATACAATGTTTCACATGCCTTTGAGGTATAACATGTCGTCAGTGTAACGGGTGAACAGCTTAGAACGGCTGTCATATCTATCATTCTTCCAACTTTGATAGGTAATATCTTCCGTTGGCGAAAAGCTATCATGTTGCGATTTTCGGTGGTCTGTTGAGATTTAGTTTCTCTCGAGGTTTCTCTATTACTTCGTATAATGCGTAATATGTATACCAGATTTATTCTATCTCGAACTTGTATCATTATTTGTTGCTGAGATATGGCCGACAGCCGTTTTTAGTTGTTCACCCGGTACATGCAAATGTATCACTATCAGATGACGGTCGAAATTTGCAACCGGCTCTCCTACTATTAAAACATATCCACCACCCCGCTAGCGATTTTATTCAAGTTAAAGTCTTCACACTGTATAGGTTAATACCAACAGAGATTATACACTTCTGATACCAATAAAATTGCATCTTGATAGAATCAATACTCTTCATAAACATGAATCACCCTGATCGAGACAATGCACGTTTTATACAATATACATCATACATCATATTGTTATTATTATCACGGTTTTATCATATACTTATCATCAATCAATATTAACATGTTCCAGGGGTCATGTTTATCTTGCTCTACAGTTTCAGATATCATATCTACCATCACACATTTCCAAGGTTTAATACGAAATATATTTCACTAGCAGACTTCGCAAACGTTTTTTTGCTATATACATTATTTCGATAATATAATTTCATCAGTTCAATATTCATCAAGATACTATTATTATTTTATTTTCTACTTCTATTTAGTTTCGCTATCTTTAAAAGCGTGTTTCTTTAGTTTTTCAAAACTACCATTTATATCAACTTCTTTTGGTTCACTCGAATTTCCCAATTCTGACGAAAGAATCATAATATTCGACTCCTAAAACCCGAGATGAAAATCTTGAATAGAATAGGAATATAATTACGAAACTCGTCGGCAATATTGGATCATCCATCTTGAATTCCCTTATTTTGACGAAGGAATCATCATTTTTGATCATGAAAACGCCCACTCACAAATTTTGAATAGAATCATCATATAATTACAAAACTTTAGCTTTAGCACGAGGGAGTTATTCTATGATTATTTATGTTCATATGGTCGAATTGAATTGTCCCAAAATACAAGTTACTCGAGATGGATTGAAGAAAATAATAGTATCCATTTATCATGATTGGGTGATATTCAGGAAGATTATTTCATAAGGGTGTAAAAATACTGGTTTATATGCGAGTTTCAACATTTTATTCAAGTTAAATTTTCAAAAATTCTGCAGATACTATTTGAATTTAAATTCTTCTGAAAGCCGTCTCTGGGGTATTCTCATCATATCTACGTACAATTGCAATCGATTCATCTAAAGTTAGAGCAAATAAAGAATATTAACCCTATTAATAGCGTTAACATATTCTTTGATTAGAGCTTCTGTGCTTTACGAGAGCGCTGAACGGACATGATACTTTAGCTATAATTGCCAGTTTGAACTGGCATTCAGCTATAATTGCCAGTTTGAACTGGAAATTAGCCATAATTGCCAGTTTGAACTGGCATTCAGCTATAATTGCCAGTTTGAACTGGCAATTAACCATAATTGCCAGTTTGAACTGGCATTTAGCCATAATTGCCAGTTTGAACTGGCATTTAGTGCTTTCGTACGAAAGTACCCCGCAAATATAATTTCACAGTTCAAGCAATGACAGCTCTGTCTAATAAATGCACATTACTTGAGAGGAAATCAGATGGCTACAAGACGAAGAAATCAAAAATGTCGCTGTTATCTGTCACAGCCGTAGAAAAATTATGGTGTATAACTCGCAGGGAATGCTAATTTCCTACTCGAATGATTGCAGCATTATTCGCCTACGGCTCAGGCTGCAAATTTCATTCTCGGGGAAAATCACTATCATTCCGTCCTTGTTGAACAATATACTATAGGGCTCTAACAACACAGTGGAGTAATTGAATGGCAGTAAGTCATTATCAGTCCACTCGCCCTTTGCGTTGGTCGAAATAATCGTTCGCGTTTATTGGCGTCACTAGATGGCGATAACATGACTAGATCCTTTCGTACGGAAGCGCTAAATGCCAGTTCAAACTGGCAATTATGGCTAATTTGCCAGTTCAAACTGGCAATTATGGCTAAATGCCAGTTCAAACTGGCAATTATAGCTAAATGCCAGTTCAAACTGGCAATTATGGCTAATTGCCAGATCAAACTGGCAATTATAGCTAAATGCCAGTTCAAACTGGCAATTATAGCTGATTGCCAGTTCAAACTGGCAATTATAAAAAAAAAGTATCATGTCCGTTCAGCGCTTTAGTAGTGCATTCCTTTCTTG